AGGTGATGAAGAAGGCATTTGGCATGCTTGCTTTTATTGGTCAGAGCATTGAGCACAAGAGTTGAGCCATCATGTTAAGTCTTACAAGACATTGATAAGGTCACATTTGGAGTACTGCATACAATCTGGTCACCCTGCTTTTGGAAGGATGTTATTAAACTGGAAATAGTACAAAAAAGATTTACAGCGATGCTTCCAAGACTGGAGGGTTTGAGTTATAAGGAGACACTGGATAGGCTGAGGGGTGACCTTATAGAGGTTTATAAAATCATGAGGGGTATAGATAAGGTGAATAGCCAAGGTATTTGCCCCAGGGTACGAGAGTCCAAAAATAGAGGGCATAGGTTTGAGGTGAGGGGGGAAAGATTTAAAAGGGATCTGAGGGACAACTTTTTCACACAGAGGGTGGTGCATATATGGAACAAGCTGCCAGAGGATGTGGTACAATTACATTTAAAAGACATTTGAACAGGTACATGAATAGGAAAGGTTTACAGGGATATGGACTAAATGTAGGCAACTGAGACTACTTCAGTTTAGGAAACCTGGTTGACATGGTCGAGTTGACCGAAGGATCCGTTTTTATGCTTGTATGAATCTATGTTCTAGTGGAACAATGGAAAGACCATTGAAATACCAGGCATAAAGAGGGTAAATTGTTTTATTTATCCCCAGGGCTTCCTTGACTGTATCTTAAAAATTACGGTGAAAAACAGGGAGGACTCCTCCCGAATTTTAAGGTAATAGAAGTTTACTGGACATGGATGTTAAGAGTTTTTGCAGTCCTCAAATCTGCCAGCAGGGTGCAGCAAGAGTATTGACTGTGGCTGTCCGAGGCCTTTTTATTGGTCAAGGTGAAAAATCACACAACACCAGGTTATAGTCCAACAGGTTCATTTGAAATCCCAAGCGTCCGGAGTCTCAGTCCTTCTTCAGGTGTTAGTGAGAGAGGTACTATCAGACACGTAATTTATAATTGAAAGATCAAAGGTTCACACCATTGATGAGGATGTACTAAACAAACCTAAGATGCTGTTAAATCTTTAATCAGTTAGAAGGTTTTAATTGATTAATATGTACATGTAAATCCTCAAATTCCTTTCAAATCACTGGCCTGAGAGAACTAAAGGTTTTATTAGTATAAAGAAGAGGTGACATTTTAAGTCAGACAATGCATGTTAGGTGTGAGGCCTTATTCAGAATCTATTTGTGTTTTAGTTTGGAGTCAGACTGGTTTTATTCTAAAGTAGGAATTTATAAAACGCTATATTGACTGACTGTCTATAAATTGTGTGCTTTTTGAACAAAATAAAATGTATCTGCAAATACAAATTCACCCCATTGATTCATGCGTGTGTGTGTGAGAGAGAGAAAGAGGGGAGGTTAGGGGAGAGAGAGAGTGTGTGTGTGTGTGAGGGGGAGAGAGAGTGTGTGTGTTTGGGGGAGGGAGAGAGACTGTGTGTTTTTGTGTGTGTGTGTGTGTGTGTAAAAATGAGTGTGAGAGAGTGTACAGTGTGGTGGAGTCACCTGTAGTGCGACATGAGCTCAAAATCCTGGTTGAGGCACTCCTCATGGGTACCGAACTTGGTTATCAGTCTCTGTTCGGTGACTCTGTCGTTGTGTATCCCAAAGTCCACCTTGGAGGACGTTTACCCAAAGATCCGAGGCCAAATGTTCTTGACTGCTGAAGTGATACCCCACTAGGAGGGAACATTCCTGTCTGGGGATTGTTGTGCGGTGTCCATTCATCTGTTGTCGTAGCGTCTGCATGGTTTCGCCAAAGTACCATGACTCGGAGCATCCTTGCTTGCAGCGTATTAGATAGACAATGTTGGCCGAGTCACATGAGTATCTGCCGTGTACGCGGTGGGTGCTGCTCCCACGTGTGATGGTAGCGTCCATGTTGAAGTTCTGACGTGTCTTGTAGAGGTTACCATAACAGGGTTGTATAGTGTTGTTGTCGATGTTGTACTGAAGGCTGGGTAGTTTGCTGCGAACTATGGTCTGTTTAAGGTTTGGCAGCTGCTTGAAGGCGAGAAGTGGAGGTGTGGGGAAGATCTTGGCAAGGTGCTCATCATCATCAATAATGCGTTGAAGGCTGCAAAGAACATGGCGTAGTTTCTCTGCTCCCAGGAAGTATTGGACAATGAAGGGCACCCTATCGGACGTATCCCGTGTCTGTCTTCTGAGGAAGTCGTTATGGTTTTTCACTGTGGCACGTTGGAACTGATGATCGATGAGTTGAGCATTGTGTCCTGTTCCTATGAGGGCGTCCTTCAGTACCTTCAGGTGTCCGTCTCATTCCTCCTCATCCATGACTTGAAAGGAATCCAGAGATTTACATATTTATCAATTAAAACCTTCTAACTGATTAAAGATTTAACAGCATCTTAGGTTTGTTTAGTACATCCTCATCAATGGTGTGAACCTTTGATCTTTTCCTTATAATTTCTGTGTCTGACACCTGAAGGAGGATTGAGGCTCTGAAAGCTTGTGTTTTCGAATAAATCTGTTGGACTACAACCTGGTGTCATATGATTTCTGATTTTGTCCATCCCAGTCAAACACTGGCACTCCACATCATTTTTATTGGTCAGCAATGCAGTTTATCATGAGGATTCTCCCTTCAACGTCTAAACCTCATTTAATCTACTTTCAGCAATTGTGAAAGGGTTATTGCTTCTGCTGAAAGAACTGCGGCTTTGTAAATCGGAAACAAAAACATAAATTGCTGGAAAAGCTCAGCAGGTTTGACTGCACTGGTGGAAAGAAATCAGTTAACATTTTGGGTCATGTGAACCTTCTGAGACAACTGCCTTCGGCACTTCCAAACGAAAAAATAATCTGAATGTATCTACTTCACCGCGTATTGGCACATTTGCAGAAATGCTGTCCTCTTTTTTTCCCTCCTTGAAATGTTTGTATTCAAGTAAGAATAAGTGCAGTAAAGATGACACTAACTTAAGAATAGAGAAACAGAAACTGTCAGTGTAGCTGGGAAGGAGTTGGACCAAATTTCTCTTAAAAGCTGCTACAGGAACTACTTTGAAAATTAGCACCAGATCTGTACTTGGCTGTAATTAACAGATCTGAACTAAAATCCTCTAATCTTTAAAGGGAAGCAATCATGTGCTCAGCTAAAGAGGAACAAAATTACAATTTCAGCACTTTTTCTCTTGGCAGAAATTTCAACATCCTGAGAGTTTTTCAGACCCTAATACATTTTTGATTTTAAAACAGGCAGTGCTCATGGTGAGTAACCCATGCCCTATAAAAAGATAAGGCCGCTCGATGGTGTCACCAGGTGGATACCATTATCTCTCTCTCCTAACCCCTGAATCATGCAAGAAAATGTATTTGATGTCTGTCCAGAGAGGACGGTTTGCCAACAGCCAATTATAGGTCAGTTTCAACTCCATGACTTCAGAGTATACTTTGTATACTCTTCACAGCTCAGTGTCAGAGTTCTCAATACCAGTTTGTGCAGACGTTCATGACTCAGGACAGAAGAGTGACATGAAGGTTGTCTTGACATCATCAACGCCAGTGGATGTAGCAAGTGATTCCGGCTACAAGTCAACGAGTTATCTGTTTGCAGTGCTTCGTTTTGAACCAGCTGAGGATTGAATGCTTAGGAGATACATACTTGGACAAAACAAAAATCTCTCTTCCAACAGACAGAGTGTAAATATTAAGAAAGTGAGAAAGTATTTCCTAAAGTTTTAAACTGTATTCTCATTTTTTTTTACAGTAACTTCAAAACCCTAGAGCATTTTATACATCTTTTTTAGTACCACTCTGCATTTGCACTTCATCTGCTGTCAAATAGCTATAACACCATCCTGCTTTGCTTCACTTCTCAGTCAGGATTGTCCATGACTGAGTCTGGGTTTGCACTACAAACACTCATGAGGGATTCTTTATTATTCATTCGCAGAATGAAGCCAGCATTTATTGTCTTTCTGGTGATTATGATTCCACTGGCAATTTGTTCTGCAGTAGGAAGGAAGAAAGCTGATTTTCTTGTTTTTGTATTTAATCGTCATTACAGTGACCGGAGGTGCCACAATCACAGCCGCAGAAAAGCAACCTTGACTGTATCACAGAAGTATCCCCATTTTCTGTGAATTTCTATCCATTTCAACATGTAATGAAACACTTAGCAGTTATTATGAGATAGAGGATCTCCCTCCTGTCTGTGCTGAGTTTGAAACCAAGGCCAGTGATAATTATCTAATGCAGTTTAACTCTGAAGAATGTTCAACCTTTCAAGGAGAATTTCCCTGTGAAACACAATTTTGTATCACACTGTAAGTAACTGAAGAAGGAAAACCTGCTTGTATGTATTCTTGGTGTATTCTTATATTTTCTCAAGTCCCATGTCTAAATAGATATGTCGCAATTTTGAATATTTAGTTACTTTTCCAGGTTCAATGTCGTGAACTATGAACAAAGTAAAAATTTAAAAATCAAAAGACTACTTCATTCAGAAATTTGACTTTGTGAAAATTAAAGAAATTTTGCAACCGTGAGCTGACAACTTACTACGGCACCAACCAGGTTAATAGAAATATAAATTATTCAAGTAATAATAATAAATTATATTTTAAGACTGAAATCAAACATTCACATTTTATTAGAAAATACTGTATTAAATCAAAAGTATACTAATTTGTTAAAAGGATAGAATATATATTTACTTTTAAAATAAAGAAAACAGATGGTAGAAGACTATAACTTCATCATAGACTTATAATGACAAAACTAGGTCAAAAGTCATGTGGTTCGTGATATGATTGGAATCTCTTGATCATATTATAAAATTACAACCCCTACCATCCCTAATCAAACAATATTAAATGGATGCCCCAGTCACAACAATGTTTGTCTCTCAGTTAGAAATATTCTTATTTGAGGTTTTGACAGCAACAATCCAAAACATCTTCTGCATAAACCATAAATACATTCTGAATTTGAATACATTAACTCATACAGGCAAACTGAGAGAAGTGTGGTTGGAAAGAACCACTAAAAACTAACTGCACCATCCATTTACAGCATTCTGCTTATGTGTATGCTCACTGAGAATATTACAGTTGTTTCAACTGAGTAATTATGATTTCTACATTGACGCAGCCTGTGGGCAAAAACAGCACCTAAGAATTATTTTAATTTAGTTCATAGCTGCCAACTATTTAGCAGAGGGCACTTTGTACGAAAAAAAAAGCAGGCTGCAGTCTGGATCATCACACTGAAATACTCCGATAAATTATGACGATCCCTAGCTAATGGATGTGGCCAATGAAGAACATGTGGCAAGGCATGTAGATAAATAAATCTACACGATGAAACAGTGTTGCTTCCAATAAAGCCACCACAGAGTGAATTCTCCTAATCACACAGTAATGATGCCACAAATTACTTCCTCAATGAGATCATGAATAACACATTAATGACACAAAGGAAAGTATTTACATATAAAAAATAAAAGAATGGGTGGCAGAGATTGAGTTACAATGAAAATGGGTTGCATTAAACAATTAGTCTGCTGCTGGAGTGGATTATGACAGTGTTGAATTCCTAGTAAACAATTAGCCTGATGCTTGAGTGGATTATGATAGCATTGGGATCCTTTCAGGATATTTTCGTGCAACTGTTCCTATTCATCCATTTTTTCAATCCTTTATTTACAATACATACTTAATAGATCAAACAGAGCCCAATAGAAACACAAGATATCTGAGTCCAAACTATACGATCCGGAAAAGGTTGATGAATAATGTCAGTGAAATGGCCATTGCTAACACCTTGACAAAGAAAATAAAGAAACATTGTTAAGAATCTCAGTGCAAGTGGAAATCAACATCCCAAACAGCAAATCTGTGTTAGAACAAAAAATACAAATGCTGGGTCTGCACTTTCTTTCCACAATTTATTAACACAAAGTGAGAGTGACAGGTTAACATTCTGGGTACAGAATTTTACTCAGCAACATATTCATTTTTAATTTCAGATTGTCAAGGCAGTGTTTTAACTTTTCATATTTTACATATGAACAAGGATCACAAGTAGGCCATTGAGCCCCTCAAGCCTGCTCTGCCAGTCAATAAAATCATAGCTGCTCTGATTGTAACCTCAAATTCACATTCCCCCCTACCTATACTAAACTTTCACTTCCATGCTTAAGAAGAAACTATCCACCTCTGCCTTAATAATATTCAAAGACTATGTTTCCAGTATCTTTTCAAATTCATCTGTCGATTGTTATCAAGTAATAGCAACTTCTATAGAAGAACTGTTTCATACTTAGACGCTTCTCATGCCCTGTGAGCTTTTACCTTTCTGATTTCTGTCACATTCTGTCATCTCACTAAATCATTGTGTGTGACATTATAAAATGTCATAAGGCTCTTTCTTTATCAGTGAGATATTCCATTACACCACTCGTGCCTTAGTCAAACATTTTCACAAAATGATATCTTAGACTGTGGAATGGTAGAAGAAGTAGTGTGCTTATGATAGAGATGGTGGGGGTTTCTGGCACACTGGGTAGTGTAAAGGTGTGCCATGCTTGCAGCAAAATCTCAGTTTTGCTGGAACACATTCCTTTCCAGCTGAGCACTGTACAGATGTTTGATGGTGGATTTGGCACCAATTGCTTTGTGCCACCTCCCTTCAGACTTCGTGTGCTTGGCTGGTTGCCAAAGAACCTTCATCTTCTCAACAATTGCCCTGCCAGTGTTCACATACGACAGTTTCTGAGAGTCTGAGGGCTTAAGTCACTGCAAACCACTTGGATGGTACTCATCTCTCATTGTTTTTGAATGTTGGACTGCTGCTTTCAGTTCTTCCCTACTTCCTCCACTGAAATCCAAACAGTGCTGTTGGGAATTAGGGTTAACCTGAACATATAGTAAGTTCTAACCTGCCACGGATCGATGATCACTGACAAGCAGAGAAAAATCCACTACTAATGTTTGACTGCTATTGATTGATCTTACCTCTATCATAGCAATCCCAACAGCAACGCCACCAATAACAGCACTGTTCCTTTTGATCATTGCGGTTACGGCAGTAAAACAGCCCTTAAACAAAAAAGATGAAATTCGTATCCTTTTTCACCATAATATGTGTAAAATAAAACTGAATATCAATTCCAATCTTTCTGGACATCTTTAATGTTCAGCAATTCATTGAAAATCCCCTACCTTTGAATAGATAATTGTATCTGATGTGTCGAAGCCATCACAGTCAGGAGAAACAGGGTCTCGACAACAGCTCTTAGGATATAGACGTCCTTTTAGTTTTTGATAGGATGATTCTATAAAATCTGTGTAATTATTTAACCCACAGCAATGAAACTGAAATAGCAAAAAGAATGCTCCTTCAGGAAACTCTTCTAGCATGTTATAAATACCATCTAAACTGATGATAATGAAGAAGTCAGTTGATAAATACAAAGGAACCTCTTTTGACATTTTGTTGTTTGTGTTGTGACTTTTTGCTGCTTTTCTTTCCAAGCATTCCTTTATAGTGCACCTTTTTCAGTCAGGAGATGGCTTGGGGTTTGTTTACAGCTTCTTAAAATCTAAAAGTGTACCGTTAAAAGCAACGGGAAATGCAGGTGGCATCTGTGTTCCACGTCATCAATCTTTCATTACAACTACCTGCTGAGCATTTAATGGATTTTCTGTTTATGTTTCAGATTTCCAGCATCCATAGTATTTTGCCTTTTTTACATGTAATTTTGAAATAATTGCTTCAATGTTTACATTTTGTGTAGATTCAGTTTAGTTTCAATTACTACTCCACTTTATTTTGTTCCAGCATGGAGAGGCTACGTATGCTTTTCATATCTAGTGACAATAGTGGTGAGTTTGGAGTCCATTCCCTGTCACTGTGTGTCAGCAGCTCTCTGGTTGGGTAGAATGCTGGTCTAATGCAAAATAAAGATGCTTCTATAAGATGCCTCCATAAAAACCTTTGAATAACACTTTTAGTATAAAAAAGTAATTTTCCATCATACGACAAGCATTCCTTTCACATCTCGGGATGTTGTTTTCCAAACAGGTTGTTTATCTACAAAAGCAAAATACTACGTATGCTGGAGAAACCTGGATCAGGAAGCATCTGTGGAGAGAGAGGCAAAGTTAATATTTGAAGTTGATGATCTTTCATGAATTTGCACATTTCTGTAGACTTTGACAAATTCTGCAGCAGCTGAAGACAAAGTGTTAAACGTTTCTATCACCTCTCTGAAGTACCTTTGTGTCGTGGAAGCTAAAAGCCAAAAATGAAAATCAACTCTTTCCAGGGAAAATTTCAAACTTAGTAACAAATTATCTTGTGCCTTGAAAATCATTCCAATTCTGCTGAGTTAAGTTACTTAAAGTAGTTCTAGAACAAACATTCTAATTTCCTCAATTAACCCTAATTCTGAAATAATGCACACTTTTCATTTGTTTAAGGTTGATTTATATCTTGTGTCCAGTGTCACTCATGTAGGTGGGCTACATGTTTCCTATGCATCAAAATGATTTTTTCTGTCTACCCAAACTCTGCATAAATGTACTGATTCTTAACAGTCAGGGAACCCCTCTCCCAATACTCTGACTTACTAATATACTATGTACCACCATATGATCTTGTGGACTCTAGAAAACAGAAGAATACAGACATTCACACTGTGACTCAAGTTATAAGCCACTAGACATAGGTTGAAAAAAGAAGTATGTAAAAGAAGGTCAGGGCTTATTTGAGCATGATATTTACAATAACAAACTTTAATGCTCTTCAATTTTCCATTGTTTATGGGATGCGGGCAAGACCAGCATTTGTTGCTCACCCCCAATTTCATAGAATCCCTAGAGTGTGGAAACAGACCATTCAGCCAACAAGTCCATACCGACCCTCCGAATAGCATCCCACCCAAACTCACCCTGTTACCCTATCCCTGCAACCCTGCATTTCCCATGGCTAATCAACGTAACCTGCACAGCCCTGGACACTATAGGCAATTTATCATGGGCAATCCACCTAACCTGCACATCTTTGGACGTTGGGAGGAAACCAGAGTACCCAGAGGAAACCCACGCAGACACGGGGAGGACGTGAAAATTCCACACAGATGGTCGCCTGAGGCTGGAATTGAACCGGGGTCCCTGGCACTATAATGCTGCAGTGCTAACCGCTGAGCCAACATGCCACCCCAACTGCCTTCAAGAAGATAGAGATGAGCGGTCTTCTTAAATCACCGCAAGTCTTGGAGTGTAGAGATATCCATAATGTTTTTGGGAAGAGATTTCCAGGATTTTAACCCAATGACAGTGAGAACTATAGTTTCAAGTCCAAGGTGACTCATACTGGCAGGATTAAAATCCTGAAACATCACTCCTAATGGCACTATGGATGTCCCAGCATCCTAAAAACTGCAGTAGTTCAAGTATGCAGCTTACCATTAACTTCTCCAGGGTAATTTGGAATGGGCATACATCCAATAAACAAATTTTTTAAAAGTTGAGAATGTGAGTGGTTTGAAGGAGAGCTTACAAACAATGGGGTGAGCATGTATCTGCTGCCTTTGTCCTTCTACATAGCTAAGTCATAGGCTTGGAAGGTGCCGTTGAAGGATCCTTGGTGAGTTGCTGCAGTGGATCTTGTAGATGGTATACACTGCTGCCAATGTGCATGGTGGTGGTGGGAGTGAATGTTGAAAGCATTAGATGGGGTGTCAATCAAGTGGACTGTTTTGTCATGCTTCTTGAGCATTGTTGGAGCTGCACTCATCCGGGCAAGTGGATGATATTCCATCACACACCCGACTTGTGCCTTGTAGATGGTAGGAGACACGGGGAGACAGAAGATGAGTAACTCACCATGGAATTATTAGTCTCTGACCTGCTCTGTACCGTTCTATTTGTATAGCTGGTCCAGTTCAGCTTCTGATTAATAATAAACCACAGGATTCAGTGGTGGTAACAGCACTGAACTTCAAAGAGTGACGGTTAGTTTCTCTCTTTTTGAAGATTGTCATGACTGGTGTTTGTGTGGTATGAATATTACTTGCCACTTACCAGCCCAAGTCTGGATGTTGAAATGTCAAAACAGCAAAGATACCACTGCTGCACTAACTCCAACCTAAAACTAACTCTCGGAACATAGCATGTAAAATGAGAAACTATCTGTTAACAAGAAGCCTTTGATTAACCTTATAATCCTGTTAGTTTCAGCAGGATGCAGACTGGCAAACACTAACCCACAAGTGATACATTGTAGTTCCAGAGCTGTCCATCAAATAGACTGAAAAGAACTATGGCCCCAAGAAACAGAAATCTAACTCAAGCATTTAACTCAAATACATTAGGAGCTTTTTTGGTCATCCAAAGTCCATGCATTCATATAGCTTGAATAAGAAAAGCTAACAAAACAAACCAGATATCAAACTGAAGTCTTCATGGTCCACGTAACTTAGCAGCACCTGGGATAAAAATGCTCAGCCATTTAGCAGCCACAATTTTCTCCCTCAGTCACCTTTGTTTTTTTTTAAAACCAACTTTTCTTCTTGCTGTTGTTTCGTGAACTCCTTGCCTCTGAGTCAACATGCCAATGTCATTGTAAAACTACATCAGTAATGTGCACTGTAAATGTGTTTAACTTACAGCTGCCATAACAGAATCCCATCCATAACTTGCAAAATTTTTGTCACCATATCCAGTGTAGTTGTTTTTTAACAAGTAAAGTGCTTCTTCTTCAAATACAGTTGCAACCTATGAAGAATACAAATACTACCATTCAGTAACTGTGCATCTTTCTGCTTATCCACCCACCCCTTCTTTTTGTGACCCACCTTTGGATCATCCATATTGCTGGCAAAGTCAGTATTTAATGCCCATCCTCAGTTGCCCTGACACTACTGAGTGGATACTAGACCACTTCAGAGGGCAAGTAAAGGCCAACCAGATTGATGGGTGACTGGAGTCAGATAAAGGCCAGACAAGATAAGGATGGCAGATTTCCAAGTCCAAAGGGACATCAGTAAACCAGTTGGGTTTTTACACTATTGATATTGTCATTTTGTTTTGTATTTCTGGGTTTTAAAAACTGAGTTAAAATTGTTAAATTGTGATGGTAGCAATAGAACTTATTACGAATGTAGGCCCTATATATTACTGGTTCAGTGAAGTAACCACTGCTTTAATAACCCATAACATACACCTGAACAAATTCCTTGTGCAAATGGTTATCATCTCCACAGAAATATATTGCAGGCGGTTGGGCTATTACAGTCTAAATATACCAATATGCAAGGTACAGTGTGAGAAAAGCAGAAATAAAAACAATAATAATAGTTTAGGTTTTAAAAATGCACAAACTTGTTGTGAACAGTGACTTACATTTCCATAGCCCCTCCACTTGCAGGAAGACACCCCATCAGCAGAACAAAATAACAGATATTGAATAGTCGGAGTAAAAGGGAAAGATACAGGGGTACAGTAGGCATAACTTGTGAACAATTGAAACAGGCAAACAGGATAGGAGAGCTGAATCTTTAAATGATGGAACCATGGATTAAGGTTTTGGAAAGGAATAGGTAAGAGAGAGAGATGTAGGCAGCTAATATCATGAACACAGATGAAAGCAATGCAGGTATATGGAATTTGGGGTTTGGACAGTTCATTGAGGCTGAGATAGCAGTTGGGGAAATTGAGATGTTGTTCCCAGCCCAAAATGATGGTTTTGGTTTCACCAAAATTAAGTGAGAAAAAATACTAGCTCTGCTCCAAGTGTTGATGATACGAGGTTGGAAAGCATAGTTACAGTTTTTAGATGAATGGACTTGGCAGGCAGGGAGAGCTGTGTGACATTGGCACACACATGGAAGTTGACCCAGGCTCCTGAATAGTATTGGCAAGGGTAGTGTTTATATGGACAAGTGGAGAAGGTCAGGAATTTATCCATGAGTTACACCAGAAGTTGCATGTGTGAAAAAGAAGAAAGAAATCATTGAAGATAATGCAACAGCCGTGTTTTGCAGAATGAAGCAAAAGAATTGCTTTGAAGTTGACTGCACAAGTGGTTTCTTGGTAGATGACACAACAGTTAACGGTGCCGAAGGACAGAGGCTGGGACAGTTAAAAATATCTTTTGTGACTTTAGCTATTGTTACGGCGTGGGGGACAAGGTAAAAAGCCTAGTTGAGGAGCCTTGAATAATCTGTTTTAAAAGCATACATGCGATGCAGAAACACTTCAGGGTTTTGGAGAAAAGTGAAAGCTAGAGATAACATGCAGAGAGAGCTACCTAAGGGGAAAGGAAAATGCATGCATTATTGTAAGCAGTACATTTGCATGTTTCAGTCCACTGATGAAAACTCCTGTGTTTGGTATGTTTGAGATGGCATGGTCAAAGGGGTGCCTATGAACTTGGGGCAGAGATTACACAGAGGGGGAGTTAGGCTGGAAAGGATGGAGTGAGCTCAGGAGAAAGAATATGGTGATGAATTGAAACTGAAGCTTGAAATCACGGAGGCAAAGTGGTCACGAAGGTACAATTCAATGCAGAGAATGAGGGAGACGTCAGTGATGATATCTTAGTGAGAAAATTGTGATAGTATTTAGATATGCATTAAGGAACAAGGGTTTGAAATGGAGTTGCAAAGCTGAAAGATTAGGAAGGACGTGCCTTGGTAGCCATTTTTAGGACATAGGAATATCACGTGTTTAATACAGAAAGGATCCGCATTACCAGGACTAAGACTAAAGGAGTGATATTTACAATTGTTTGAAAGACCAAAATGACAATTGCACAAGATATTTCTCCAATAAAAATCGTTGCCATGACTAAGAAGAACTGCAAGTTAAAAAGAAAAATATTAATTTTGAAATGCAATTTCACCACACTTAAGCATTAAACGATTTAAAAGTTTTTCACAAATTATACAATAAATGTAGATTTAATTGTGTAATTTTATACTGTTGAACATGCAATAAAAGAGGGAATTTTTGTTATTTTATTCAAGAATACCAAGGGAGGGATGGTGTTGTGGACCTTTTTTCCCCCAACTTGGGTGAGATAATCTGCAATAATAAACATTTAACAATCATAAAATATTCAAATTAGGTATTCACTAAAACACAGCTGAAATGCTGTTAATTGTTATAGGGAAATGGTAGTCTCAGGGGAAGATGTAGCATCTACAACATGTTTTTCCAGTTTCATAAGGTTGGATTAACTCCCACAGTAAATTTCACAGTCCCCCACTGTAATGACCAAATTGCACAAAGTAACACAAATAACTCCTCCTCAGCAGGAAGTCACAGGAGTTGCCCAGAACAAGGAGACCAAAACACATTGCATTATCATTAGTGCATATAGAGTCCAGCTTTTGCATCTAGAAAGTCTGATGTTTTTTGAATCAACATATCTACAATATTTTAATTGAGAGTAGGAGGATAGGAACTCTGGTAGGTCTGTTGCTACTTCCAAGGGATTTTAATTATCCATAGACAGTTAGCAGAGAGCACATCACTTGGGGAGCACAGTGTCATCCAGAGCACCTCAACCTCAGTGGAGTGAGGGAGAAAAAGGCAGTCAGTTTCCCTTTCTCTCCTGTAAAACCAACACAACTGAGGTGGAAAGGCCAGCCCAGAAAATGGCTCCACGACAGTCATGCCTTCTAAGCCAGTTGCAGAGGACAACAGTACAATATTCAAAGACTCTGCTTTAATTTAGGGATTCTTTCTAGCTTCGAGCAATTTGTGAGGGGTTCTAGAGTATGGTGTTTATACTCTGCAGTAAACCAGGCAGCATGTACAACAAGATACAGTGCTTATTGCTTCACTAAATACGAAGGGGATGATTTTGACAAAAAAATTGAAATAATCATCATTTCATGGTTAGGTTTAATTGTTTACACCTATTTTACAGTTTTGCAAGATGTTTTTTCAGAGACATAGACCCACATCTCAGAGGTGTACAGATGCGTCATACACTGCTTAAAGAGCTCATGTATAACAAAGTCTCCAGTAGACAATATTGTATCAGATCATATGCCTTTAAAACGGCCCACACAAAGGCCAAAATTTAATGCCCTCCCCCAAGGTGGATTTTGAGGGGAGTAAACATTTCTTTGGGTGGAGGGTATGAGTAGGCGATCCAGCTGCCTTCCTGCCTTTGTCCCAATTAAGTCTGGGGCTGGAAGGCTCATGGATGACCTTCCTGCCCTGAAGACCACTGAGGCACTTAATGCCCAATTAAGGGCCTCATCCCATTGCTGCTGGTATTCAACCAACTGTGGGCTGATGAGTTACAAGGCAGGAAGCCTGAAAAGCAAACGCTGTCAGGATAGATTACAAAAAAATCAAAAGATAAAATCAATGGATGCTGGAAAAATTCAGAGGTCTGGCAGGATTTGTGGAGGGAAAGCAGAGTTAATGTGTTGGGTCCAGCGACCCTTCTTCAGAACTGATTAAAGCTAGGAAAAGGTTGGTGCATGTGCTGAAGATGGAGTGTGGGGAGGGGGTATGGGGGGCGGGGGCGGGGGTAAGGTATAAACAATAGGTGGAGATGGAGCCCAGAGACAGAGAAAAACAGTTGGGCATGCAAAATAATGGGTAATGGGAGAATCAATAGCTGCTAATGGGGACCATTAGTGGCTGACAATAGTTTGTTTCTGGTAGCAGCCCATGTGATGACAAGGCCCAGTGAGTGGGGTTGGGGGAATGACATGGGAGAAGGTGTTTAGGCTCTAAAATTATTGAACTCAGTATTGAGTCCCAAAGGCTGCACAGTCCCCAAGCAGAAACTGAGCTTTGCTGGAGCACTGTAGCAAACCTGAGACAGAGATGTTGGTCAGAGAACACAGTCGTATGTTGAAGTCACGGGCTACAGGAAGCTCAGGGTCATTTTTGTGGACAGAACGTTGGTGTTCCACAAAGGAGTCGCCCTGTCTGCATTTTGTCTCCCAGAGCAGACCACATTGTGAGCAGTGAATACAGTAGATTAGATTGAGTGAAGTACATATAAATCGCTGCCTCACCTGGCAGGTGTATCTGGGGCCATGGACAGTGAAGTGGGAATAAGTAAACAGACAGGTGCTACACCTTCTGCGATTGCAGGTAAAGGGGGTGTGATATTGCAGGTTCCCTCATTCAAAGGAACTCAATTATTGGTCAAGGGACTGACATTGGGAAAGGCAAGGGGTCTTGGTTGAAAGCCACCCTCTCTCTCCTTTAGGGTGATCTCCCTCGCCATAACGGCTATCCTGCCCTCACTCATCCACTACCCATGTCCCTTGGCTATCCTAAGCCCTTACCTGGGTGTACCGTCATTACAATTGCCTGTAATGGACAACTACAGACCTCAGCTCTCGCAAGAGCCTCTTTTTTGGGGACGGTGGGGGTGGTGGCATAGGTTCTCAACCCTAGGGAAGCCTCGTTATTAAACACTAATCGCCAGAGAAGCAATTAATTTGGTGGGCCTTCCTAAAAAGAGATTACATGAGGCTGCTGACTGGCTCTCCAGTTGACAGGGGACACTCATGTCATTATCTGGCATTACATGTCATTACGTAAAATAGTTTCAGTTTCAAATATTCTTTAGAAATCTGTGCTAAGAGCAATTTCATGAACCTACCAGCATCAAAAGTAACTTGCTCTCTTTGATAACACCACAACAGCCAATGAACCCTAGCAATGCAAGGCAGCACCCTGCAGCAATACAGAAATAGCCGACATTCAGGAAATGCCCAGCCCGCGATCCCAGGATCTGTAGGATGGAATCACCATGAATCTTTACCCAGACACCGAATCCAAGAAGCACAAAACCAGCAACCTAGAAGAGAACACATCAATATTGCAGTCCAGTACGTCACGGTCTAGTGAAGTAATGTCTTCTTGGTAACAATCTTCACTGAGAAGGCAGTTTTTGGTGTTTATTAAGCTTTTGGAGAATGGAAGACTGATCTGTTTCACAGGGTCAGCACTGACATGGTGTGCCAATGTGTTCAGCACAGTGGCAACTAAGGAAGTACAAAGCTCTCATAAACAGGCCATACAGTGGACTATAGCCCAAACCTCAAAACAGCCAGGCAAGCTGTGTCAATGTGATGTTGTGTTTCTTACACCAGCTCTCCTGTGGTCTTTTCTGAATCAGTCTGCTAATTCTGTGCCAGATTAAAGACAGACTTGTACATGAATGACCACAAAGAACTGGGCTAAAACTGTTCATCTTTCCATGAAGGACCTTCAAAGCCACCAAGCAAAGGACATGTTCATCCCAATCCATCACAATAGTCTGATTTGCATCAGAGTTGTGATTAACCAGACTTTTTACACTTTCCTACTAGTTGTGAGTGCAGTACATTTGAATTTCACTTCAAATCTCATTTGTTTCAATTAAAAAGGCATAAGCACAATGCCCTTTTAATATAAAATTATGCTATCAATTTAATAATCCATGTGGAACTGTTCAAGATAGTTTCTTGAAATTACAAAGATTTCAAAATGAAAGATTCTATCATTAAACATGTTAAAAATTGAAATATTTCTGCATAAACCTAAATAATGTGCAGATAGTGATAGTCAGTAAAATGTTACTTTTTAATAATCATTAATCACCTATCATTTGAAATTAAGTTCTTATTCCCCCAACCATATAATGCATAAAATGTTATATAAATATTTTCTACATCTGGCCTTTCTTTACATCAGAGACCAACTAATATTAGATACAAGACTATTAGATCTAAGAGAAGAAGTAGGCCATGGAGCCCATCAAATCTGCTGTGCCATTCAATGACAGCATAGCTTATACTGGGAAAAGTTCAGGTGGAATCCCATCGGTTAACACTGAGGCTGGAGTTGGAGAGTGGCTCCAAAGTTGGGAATGTGAATATCAGGTGAGAACGCAAGTATTAAATAAAGGTTTCCTTTTTCAAACCAGTTCCTTCATATCACACATAATTTCCTTTTACCATAACAGGTTTTGTGGGGAATTTATCTAAGTAAAATTCCATAACTTACAGTCTTCTAAACGTACATATCTGTAACATTCTCCATATGGTTGGTACCTGACTCACAGGTGAAATAAAAACAGAAAAACTCCTAAGACGCAAGGAATACTTTTGCTTAATCGATAGAATGGAAAGCAACCAGATAGGTCCTAAGTCACACGAATAAAAACTGTGACCCTCTGCCATAAAATGTAGTCCAACAAGTTTATTTGAAAGCACAAGCTTTTGGAGCCTCGGCTTTCAAATAAACCTGTTGGATTATAACCTGGTGTTGTGTGATTTCTGACTTTGTCCACCCCAGTCCAACACTGGCACTTCCACATTGTAAGATGTCACACATTCTGGGCAGCAATGAGTGGAATTGATAGGGGAACCTCAACAACCCAACATGAGCTGACCCGTGGTGCAAGAATGAAATGACACTTTCTTAACTCACAGCAAGAGCCTTGTTTTCAGCTGGAAGGCACTTTAATGCAAAGATAATGTACAATATACTGGTACAGATATTTTATAGTACTTACAGTTATGACGGCATTGATCCCAACCATTAAGAATTTTATACAGAAAAAAACACTCTGGACGTGTGACTCCATTGTCAGCTTTTTATTATTTGAGTTACACCATCTAAAAAGAAAGTATCTTTTAAAAAAAAAACTGGACACGTGATTAGTGTAAAAAGAGTTATAGATGGAGCATGCTTTGAGAATGGATCAACAGCAGTTAACCTTTTCACAACTACATTGTCAGCACTAATATAGTTACTGTATTTATAAGAATGTTTGCTTTTATTTAGATGGATAACATTGTGATTAATGCAGACTATACCATTACAAAACATTGCCCACTGTATCGATTTCCTCACTTCTCATTTAAACTTGTTGGGAATGATGTGGTTCTGTTCAATTTTCAACCTTCTCTATTGCGCAGGCCTGGTGTTTTGTAGATTGGTACCCCACAAAGACTACCTTGTCCATGTTGAATTCTCTCAGTGCATTCATAACATTGCTGAAAACAAACACTCCCTAAGCTTGTAGGTTTGTTGATCAGCATTTGTCATGACCTAATGAAAGTGACGAATGCTCGCTAGCCTAAGATATTACAGCACCCTGAGGTGCTGAGCAGAGGTTCCCAAATGTTTATAATGCAGATCATTGGTGCATTGAACTGCAATAGAGTTGGTTTAGTCATTTAGTGATGTCCTAACTGATATTCTATTTGCAAATATTTTCATGGTGTTGGTCTACCTGATTTCCTGTCAGGCATTATTCTAACAATTCACCTTCACTATATTACTGCCCTTTCGGATTTAACATCCTTGCTATGGATAATAAAGGGTTTGTTTCTTTTCTGTTTTGGATTCAAGATTCTACATAAATAAATATATATGCCTTTTTTTAAGTTTTCTATGAGGATTTCATGACTGAGTTAACGTTAGCTGGCTGTGTTTGTGTGGGTAATCTGATTTTAAAGATACATTTTATGTAATGTTACAAATAGTGAGCTTCCCCTGCACAGTATGAACTATTGAAGTCGAACTTTGACATAAATACTTTTGACAAAGACTGGAACATTTTGGTGCTACGACAGAATATCTACAACCGATCACCTGCAAGAAGATCAAATCAAGATTCTCTTAAAAAGATAAATGAAAACCGAAAGAACTATGGATGCTGTAGATCAGAAACAAAAACAGAAATTGCTGGAAAAGCTTAGCAGGTCTGGCAGCACCTGTGGAGAGAAATCACAGTTAATGTTTCAAGTCAAGTGACCTTTCCTCAGAACTGATAGTAGCTGGGAAAATCCTATTCTCTCCACAGATACTGTTAGACCTGCTGAGCTTTTCCAGCAATTTCTGTTTTTGATTCTCTTAAAGGTATTGGTTCGGAGAATTATCAGTGATCCAAAATTCCTGAAGCATGCTATGGGTACAAATGCATTGGACTGTCTTTTCTCAAAGAAATTAAACCAATTTGTGATCGAGCCCAGTGCAAATTACTCTGTGGCTGAGTCACAGGGCGCGAGTCCCCTTTAGATTCAAAGTATCATCACTGAATAGGAGCTCCCTTTTTCTGTGCATTGACATATCTTGATGTTTAAAAAGGACTAATCCAAAAGTTGATGCCAGAATTATGAATAGATTGAATGATGCTAAATTGTCCTACTCACAAGGCAGGTACGAACTAAATTCACTGTAGCAAATTAAGTCTTGTTTAATCCAAAATACCCTTTTCACTATGTGTTAAGTGTTAATTACTGCCGGTCAACTTCTAGGGAACTGAAAATTAGCCGTTAAAAATGTGGAATCTCATTTGTTCAAGAATAATTGCTGAAGAATGTCAAAACTAAAAAAAATCTTTTCTTAACTCTTCCTTTTTTTTCTTTATTTATCTTTGATTCTGCATTGCATTCACACACTGATTTACACTTCCCTTTCAAGTTATTGTATTGTTATAACAAAAATTTCAATTGTTTTGGTTATGGAGATGGCTGTTGGGCACCCTGGTCACTTAGGTCCCAAGTGCCCTGTTTTTTTTTTGCTGCGATGTTACCAGTTGGGGATTTAAAACAATTTATCACATACACACAAAAAAAGTAAAATCTTATTGGCACGAGTGCACATCTTGCTAAAAGCCTGTGTCATCAAATGCTATGCTAGACGACATGACAGCTCAACATGATTCCTGCTCGCCACAAATACCTATGGGTCAGTTGCTAAAGCAGTTTATATCACTGTTCCAACTTTAATCACTGGAGCTCTTGCAGAATACCACCACCATCTGTAACAGGACAGTCAAGAGTGCTGGGATTCACCTTCGTATAGAAACAAGAAACAGGTTTTGCCTGTAACAAAATCTATTTTTCTTCAATATATTAAGTACTTTGAATAAAAAAAAACTCCAATTGTTAAATGTTTCCTTGAGGGCAATTATTTTGCTTGAACCTATATTTTTTGTTGTGTAGTGTTCTTCTGGGTTATGTGCTGTACTTAATAAATTTTGTCGTGGTGATATGCAAAAATATTGTACAATCAGTTCTTTACATTGAAAGAAACAAAAGCAGTACACCCCAGTTTGATGCTGATACAATTCGACATAACCGACTCCATTTTCAATATTACCCTATTTTTCAACGAAACTGTGGTGAGAAAGAAAAAGCCAGGTAGGACTCCAGGACAAATATTGAAGAAGGTGATATGTGCACTCGACCGTTTAACAAAAAAAGCATTAATTCCACTCTCGACAAGTCTCAACTTAATCAAAATCGAGTAGATATGAGTAAAATTACTCTTTCCTTTCTGACTGAGTTAGAAACACTTACGAGACTGAGCTTGCTCCTTGGAGTTGAAGTTACTGGAACCGAACCCGCAGCCTGTTTGAATTGAGAGCTCGAGGCCCAACGGCCACCCCACGCGCGGGAAGCCATGTTGTCCCTTCTCCTGACACTGAAAACAGGGCGAAGATCGAAAAGATGGAAAAAGCTATTGTGGGAACATGTCTCGTCACTGCACAACACCCTTCCAAAAGGTCTGAAAACTTGACCAGCCTTATAATGGCTTTTTTTTAAAAAAAAATGATATTTTTACTCGGGGAATGGGGAGCAAGTCAATCTTCTTTCAGTTGACCAAACTGAAAATTCTGCTTCTAAATGTGTTAGCTATCCACATGTACATTTTCCTTAAAAATTTTTTTCATTAAGTTGCAAATGTATAACAAGGAGTATAAAACAAAGTGAATTTCAATGAATTTCTGTTTTATATAATGAGGAATCATGGTGGTGCATTCATATTTTGGAAGTGTTGAATTTTTTTATCCCATCTTTCCTAAATTGTAATGTAATGTTCAGCAGGTTTATAGTGACATTTTGTTGGTCAGCATCAGGGAAAAACATAGATTGTTCTATAAAAACTCAGTTGGTTCATTAATGAGGTTGCATTGGGTCTCTTTTCCTTGCTGTGGAGAAGGTTAGGAGGTGTCTTAAAAGGGAATAAAGACGATGGGAGGTTTTCTTGGAGGGAATTGGGATAAGAACAATCTCTCTGGTGAGAGGGTCAGATGGAAAAAGATCTGGAGGAGAGACAGGGAGAATTTCTTTTCAGATATTTGCCAGGATTTGGAATACTCTAAGTGGAAGCAAAAAAGTCATTTTTGTATTTAAATGTTGATCAGGCACGTGCAGGAATGCGGGACGAAGTGTGACTGCATTTCCAAACAGATGGACAGAATTAGAATTAGCTTTATTGTCATATATACTTGAATGAGTACAGTGAAATCTTTACAAGCTGCCACTTAGGTACCAAGATACCTAGGTACAGATTCTTAAGTGCAAATTCTTAGGGGAAAAAAATAGAAAAATGAATAAAAGTACCGTCCAGCATTACTGATCATTGGAATAAATTTGAAAAATAATGTGCACATTGCATCAAATGGTGATGCATTGTGTTGTATATTGCTGTGGTACTCATGAATGAATTGGGCTTGCCTGTCCAAATCTAGCATATTATCTCTTACATTTGCTCAGGAAAAGCAACTAATGCTTCAGCCTACGTAGAGTGATACAGCACAGAAGCAGATCCTGTAGTCCAACCAGCCCATGCCGAACATAATCCCAAACTAAACTAGTTTCACTTGCCAGCACTTGGCCTTATGTCTCCAAACATTTCTTATTCGTGTAAAAACCAAAAGAACTGTGGATGCTGCACATAAACTGACATTTTCCCAGCCACCATCAGTTCTGAGGAAGGGTCGCCGGACCTGAAACGTTAACTCTGTTTTCTCCTCCACAGATGCTGCCAGACCTGCTGAGCTTTTCCAGCAACTTTGTTTTTATTTCTTATTCGTGTACTTATCTAAATGTCTTTTAACCGTTGTGACTATATCCACATCCACTGCTTCCTCTCAAAGTTCATTTCAGAAGCGAACCACTCCCTGTATGAAAAAAATTGCCCCTCGTGTCTTTTTTTAAATCATGAGATAAGCTCTGCCTTCAGGATATAAAGGATTGTTCTAGCAGGAGTTTAGGGAGAAGTGTTAAGAATGTCTCAGTAGCAGTAATTTGTACTTGCTCCTAAGTTGAGCCAAGAGACTTTTATGTGCATCAGATGCAATGTAATTAGCTATTAAGGAATATTTAATATATCTAAGCTGTTTATCAAGACTGAACCAGTCTTCTGTGTACGATAATGTGTGGGTACCCTTCTCCATTTGGCATCACTAATGTAGACAGATACCAAATCAGAGGATTGATGGCAGTGAATCTGTCCAGCTGTAGCATCTCAGGAAGTTCTTGTGAGATCCAACATTTACAATAGTTGAGAGTTTGACAGGAGATTTATGGGAATTGAAGCCTTGAGACAACAAACTCACAAAATGAACATATTCCATTGTGAAAATAAGGAGTTGTAGATGTTTCAAATGCTGGGATGAATGAGTAGAAGTAAAATAACTTAATTGGATTTTTACCCAATATTTATATGATAAAATCAGAGAGCCTCAGGTAAGATTCAAGATTAGGTGAAATCCACCTGCACCATCACCACATATTAGTGGGTATGTGCATTAAAGAAAGTAGTTAACTTTGTTAATTAAAATCTTCAACAAGAGTTAGATGAATATCTGTTGGGAACAGGATTGAATGTTATTGGAATAATTATTGTGACAGGAATGATTTAACATTGAATGGAAGTCTTGTTAATTTAGCAATAGAAATGTCCTGCAAAATGAAGAAAATGAAAAGCATTGGTAATGTAGAATATTAGTGTGATGAATTTTTAAAGTATTTTCAGGGTATTTTGTTCAGCTAGTATTGTTCAAATCAATTGCTAAATGCTACCATGCATTAAAATGGTCCATTTTTGGATTAGCATTGTGAAATATTTGGACACAAATTCAAAGTTACTAATCAGCAAGTGTGAAAAAAGGCAAGAATCTATTACAATAGATATCCACACATTCTTTCCCAGTTTGATTTCACATCCAGAATCTGCTTGTTTGTGGACTGATTCATGGCCACATTAATGTCACAATGTTATTTTGTCTAATTTTTGTACTTTAGCCAGTATATTGCTGAATTTAGTTCTTGCCTGCATATAAAATAAGTGACCAGACCTGCTAGTGACTGAGCAAGATCTGAAGGTTCATTTAAGACAGACTGAGAAGATTATTTGAAGAAGTACTGGCCCAAGTGTCTCTTGTTTTTTTTAGGTTTTTCTGTTACTATTATGGGTTCATGAACCTCTCATGACAACCTTTCCACTGTTTTCCTTTTAAATTTGTTCTCACGTGAGAATCCCGATATATTTGTGTGATTTGAAAGAAAATAGAATACCCAGTGGATAGGTTCCCATTAGGACAGAATGCACCAGCAGCTCTCTGTATCCTGTCACTGATACTTTTACACAAGAGTCTCATCAGACAAGGTGCATGAAACTCTATTTGGTGGGATTGCACTTCCTCTACGCTCTGATTTATAACACAAAACTATGAAGAATATATGTCACATGCTCTAAACAGATCTCCGGCCAAAATTCTTCATGGTTAAAATGGCCTTTATCTTTAATCCTTCAAGATCATTTCAGAATATCAGTAGTTACCTACAGAAGATAAGTCATTCAGTTTTCTGTATATCTTTAAGAGGTGTAACTACTGTAATTTCCGTTTGTGGGTGAAATAAGAAGGGACAGATTAAAAATAATGAGTCTCCCATTTAAGTTGTAGTTGGGGAGGAATTTCTTTCCATCAGAGGATCATGAGTCTTTGGAACACTTTCCCAAAGAGCAGTGGAAGTAGGGTCATCAAATATTTTTAAGGCTGAGGTAAATAGATTTTTGACAAACAAGGGAGTCAGATGATATTGACGGTATGTGGGAATGTGGAGTTGAGGTGAAAATCAGATCTGTCATTTTCTTTAGCATGGTCTAGATGATAGTTTATATTCATTTGACCATGTAATGTTTCCTTGTCTTGTGCCAAAATCTAGGCTCATGTGCAACCAATGAGCAGCTTTCTGAACTTCCTTTTAACATTCCACTATCTTCCATATATTTGCCCAGAAAGAGCAACTTTGAAGATGACTCCTGAACGATGAAGTCTATTCTTTAAAATCATTGTTCATAAAGCCCGAAGGACATCAAATTAGTTCTGAATGTATAAACATTTAGCAGATCATGGTACATTAACTCAATGCTTCATGTACACCAATAAACTCGAGAAATCTTGCAATGCAACACTCTCTAGGTACCAAAGATTGTTATGTGTTGCATACTTTGTAAATTTGCTGTCTGAGGAGGCATTATTGCCTGTATTGAGACAAATATCAGGTTCACCAAGGAGATGAATGCAAAGAACAAAAGTTTCAAAGCAGAACCTGCTGCTTGTTAATGCTCACTTCATTGGCAGCTGTTTCTATGTCTTCATTTTAAGTCAGGCTATCATCTTATGATCTTGATAGACACGTGTGACAACTTGCTGGGTGGCTACCTTTGGACAAGTCACTTTTCTTTACATGGCAATAAGGTCACTGTTATAAAGCCATCTTTTATATATAAAGACAAAGAGTTTTAATGTACTAGCTGGAAACCCTTAATTAAAATGTATAAAGCCACATTCCAGCGACTTGGGATCACAGCCAAATAGGCAGCACATTTATATCACTGTACCTTCCAAGTTCAAACCCTACTCAACTATAGACAAAACCGCACCAAGGACAATCGCCTTGAAGGAATATGAGTGGGACCATCTCCTGCACCGTTAAGCATCCAGCCAAACAACTGAGTATTCACTTAGGTGGAGGCAAACTGTTAGACATGATCACTTGGACAATGGGACTCTTGCTATCAAAGGAAAGTGTTCAGATAAAATCCCACCACACAAAGCAGGCAACTAGAATACACTAGCCATATTTGAGTTGTTGGTTAGTTTTAGAGAGAAGATAATAAGTCTACTAGCCCTTTGTATGTTGAAGTAAAACAGGACAAGTAACAACACTGAAAGCAACGGGATCACCAAGTTTAAACTGAAGCAGCTATGCCACAAACCTATAAAACATGTATACCTTTTAGTTTTACTGGATCCTAAGTTGCTTAATCTGTCTTCTTAAGGTGAAATCTATTTGTGAAGGTATGGACTTTGAGTATGTGTCACGTAGAAGTTAGAGCCTTCTTTTTACTATTTTACTTAGACTGGGTTAAGTACAATAAAACAATCCCCCTTTTTAAAAGAGAGCCAAGAAAACCAATCTGTTTGCATTTTTATGATCACAACTCAAAACAGTTAACTACTCACTGAATTGGCAAGCATATTCTTTTCAATAAACATATTGCTGTCAAATTAGGAATGGGAAAAGAGTGGGACCATTCCACTCTCAGCTGATTGTAAGTCACACTGACAGCCCTGTTGTGCATGAGGACACTGAACAGGATCAGATTCAGCTCGGCTCCTCCTACAGTCAGTAAACTGCCAACTCCAATCATTTAAACTCGCATTGCCCACTTGGGTGAGAAAATGTAACTACACCCCAGCCAGGGTCAGCAGAGGCGTGGGAATAAGCTACTCACCCTGTTTTACATGCTGCAGCCTTTAATTAGGTCATTGTTGTCATGTACGTAAACTTCATTTATCTACCTTTGTTCCCAATACCTTAACAAATAAAAGCCTTATGCAATTTTTTCAAGGGACGAGAGATAATGTTGGTAAGTGGTGATCTTCCTTTCTTCAGAACAGAGCCCTGGGATCTTTTACAGCCACTCAAGACTGCTGCACAGTTTGACAATTCAGGGAGTTTATTTTAGACCATTTGCGAGGTAATGCGCAACTGGGAGGGCATTTTGAGGGTGGGGTCATCACCATGCTCAAGTATGAATTTTTTGACTTTAGAGAAATGCAGATTTGGAGAATATATGATTAATTGGTCACTTTTGTAGATTATCTAAAATGGTTAGGAATAGGAGGACTAGATGTCGGGCTGATCAAAAGAAGGTGAGTTGATAGGAGGCAATTTTTCTCAAAAAGAATCATCAATTTCTGGAAAAGAAACCACTAAAATGTGATAAATGTCGAGTCATTATAATTCTCTAAAGAGAACTTGATGAGTATCAGAAAGGGAACATTTTCAATTACAGGAGCTATGTTGCTAATCACCTGGTATTATAATGAGCTGTGGACTACTGTGCTGTTTCTCATGAGTGTAAAGAACTTTTCCAAATGTTTTCCTCAATTGGATTCAGTTTTTTTTCTTCTCTGTTCTGAAAATATCATGGTTTAGAGACATTAAAATGGCTTAGAAGATTCCACTGTTGACCTAATGATTTGTATCTGAAAGTATGTCTGAAGGGCTGTTCTTGCCCTTTTCCTAAGCCTTTACACTTGTTACTATTTTGTGACGTGTGTCACTGGTAATGTCAGGATTCATTGCTAACTCTTAATTGCCCTTGAAAGGACGGTGGTGAACTGTCGCTTGAATACAAATGAGTGATTTGTTGGGTCATTTCAGAATGTAGTTAAGAGTCAGTCACATTGCTGTGAGTCTGGAGTTAAACTAGATCAGGTAGGAACAGCAGATATTTTTCCCACTAAAGGCTATTAAGGAGCTTTTAATGGCAATCCACTAGCTGCGTGGTTGCCATACTAACATTTCATTCCGAATTTATTTTATTTGTTGAATTTAAATTCCCCAGCTACACTGCATGATTTGAACATATATTTCTAGATCATCAGTCCAAGCCTTTGGATTCTCAGTCCAGTAACATAGTCATTGTCTGACAATTTTATGTCACTTTTATAGCTTGTGCTAAGTGAGACATGTTGACAAACCTTTGCAATATTGTTCCACATTCATTGGTTTCAGTGTCGCCAGTCTATTAACTAAATAAATGTATGTATGAATTTCTAGTTTTTAATTCTACAGTGCTTCCATTTAGTGACAATACCTGATGTATTTGCTTTTAACCAAGTCTGTTGCATCTTTTTTGTGCCATCTTGACAAGTGTGGTGCATTTTACTCCCAGGATTCTGGCAGCCAGTGCCAATTAATAGGGTGTCCTGCAATAGGGTGCAGCCTCTGCAGTTAATGAAAGAGCCAAGCGCACATGATTTCTAGCTGTTGTGCATCATTGGAGTGAGCTGGCTAGAGGATGAGGTGCGTAGACACACTGAGGGTCAGCTACACCCTCTGTGTCCATTCCAGCTATGCCCATAATACTCAGATGAGGCAGTGTCTGCAGATAGAAATGGAACAAACACCTCAGGTTAATGACCTTTCATCAAAATGTGAAAGGAATTCCCATGCTGCAAGGCACCATCCCAGAATGAACACCTGGTGCAGGACAGGAATTTTAAGGCAGAGCAAAGGCATTTCGATTGCCTCATTGCAACGAGGTGAAAAAAAGTTACTCCTGCACACCTGCGAAGTCCAGGTTGAGCTCATTTGTGATTCTGTGCAATAGTCACAGTCTGCTGAGTTCAAGTAGAACCTCTTAGGAAGTAACAGTTATTTAGAAGAGAGCTTAAGGATTTAAATTCAGCATCAGTGACAACTTTCCTGTGAAACCAGAAAATGAAAACAAAACAAGTAAACCACATATATATTCAGATAATCATTTATTGTCAAATATAATTCAGAAGCTATAGCAGGTGAATACAGAAAAGTGAATATTAAAAATACAATCAGAAGATTTGCTCTTTAAAAAAAAGTCTGTTACTTCCTAAGAGGTTCTACTTGAACTTTATAATTCCTTTTCTTGAATAATTTTGAAATTTAAAAACTTTATGTTTTGTAATGTAACATTTCTGTTGCACTCTCAATTTGGAACCACATAACATCACTTATTTTTGAGAGGGAGAGTATTACTGTATCAATACACTGCCTTTTCCAACATGAAACATTTGCTTCCTGTAATAAACCTACAGCTCCTGACCATTAACATCAAAGAAAAAATCAGATGGAACTCTGGGATAGATTAAGCAAGATGTAAATTAATGTATAACATCACTGTATATACATCAAGCAAAATTAAAGGCAGCTCTTTTTTAAAGTCATTATTGATGGTTGATCCTTATTTTCCACAGCTATATGTAGCTGCATTTGAGAACCATGGTCTGATGATATTCTGACTTTCGTAATTGCATTTTCAGCTACTTTATTCAGTAATCCAGAGATGTATTTCAGTGGTAAGAAGGTACTCCTTTCTCAACCTATTGATGGTCAAGTTGTTTAGTTAGAAATAACTTTCTCTATCAATTTTGAATTTGCTGCAAACCTTTAAGCAGTGACAAACCATGTTTAGGAAAAACATTGAGCTGCATCTTTCTAGACAAATTAGTAATATTTCTAACTTTTTTGAGAGCACACGGCTGTCATTCATTTTCCATTCTACATTCTGTAAAAGTTTTTGAACTTGAATGCTGGTCTCTGAAGGCGGAAGTTGCATAGTTGTATACTGTTCTCATAAGGCATCCAGCTCACCCAGCACTGTGCTTGGAATGTATTACTCTATGGAGTGATAACTTAGAAAGGGAGCAGATCATTTCCCTCATCTCCCCACCGCCCTTAAACCACTATAACTTCTGAATATAGGGACTTTTTCATGGCAGAATGTGTAAAGTGCATTATTGCAGAAGAAAAGTTTTACCTTTGTAGGAAAAAAATAATATTTTACATTTAATACAACATTATATTTGTTTGATTATAGGTATTGCAATAATCACCTATGTAGTGAGCAACATGTTATTTTAATAGTTTTTATTTTTTCTGATATAAGCAAGGTTTTAAAAAGATTTTAACTGATTGTTACCCTTCATTGCATTTAAGAATCAAAAGAAAATCTACATTTTTTAAGGATTAAACAGTTTAGTAGACATTTTCTATCAGAACTATAAATTATTTTTGTCTCATCTGCACTGAATAGTGATAAGCAAATCTTGAGTCTAAACTAACCCGTATGAAACCTGTTTGTATAATGTGTGAACTATTAACATATTGTGCTGCTCTACATGTGGAAAGGAATCTGATTGTCTGCGACAGGCTAGGGAATGCTCTTGCTTTATGTAAAAGGCTTTGGTCTAGAAGTTCAAGTACACATTGGTATTAGACCATGGATGAGCATGTTGCAGAGAGTAACAGCTATCTGTCTAAGTAAAGCCTTGCTAATGAGCAAGCTGATGCAAACCTTAGGTACATGAGCAGGAGAGAAGGTGAGTGCTGGCTTGGAATGTGATCCATAGCTGGTGAGGTTGGGCTTCTCTATTGCCTCAAAAGTAAGATTGGGAGTAATGTAAGGCTGCTGCTCCTATCTCTTCAGTTGGGTAAGTATAGGAGCATTCCTGCCAATTATCACTAAATGCTGTTCAAGTTCAGCATGAGACAGGTGAAACGGCAGGGCATTTAATGATTAAGAACAGGTCTTGTAAGAAGCGAAGGGCAGCAATTTAAATAAATAAATTTGAACGTTCTCATTCCTAATGCCAGCAAAACAATCGTATCCAATATGATGAGCAGTGCACTTTTAGAAGTAAAAGTGTTTTGTGCTTCTGGCTTGTCATAGAATGGTTAGAAGGTTATCCAGCTCCCAAAAAATAGATGCTGAATAGCCAAATTTCAGTTCATTTTTGTGTTCTAGTGCAAATCCTATCTAACCTATTTGAATTGTATCAGAACCTATTCGAATTGTGTCATATCCAAAGTTATGCAAAATGAACACTGCTGATGTAATGTCTTCTAAAAATGTCTAGTTGCCCCACTTATTTTAATGAAATGAGACAATTACCGTAATGGACAGTTTGCTAAGTGCAGGCTCCAGTCTTTTTATTCTACATCTTTAATTATTTTCTTGATGGAAGGCAGGAGGCAGGTGTTAGTTATAGCCAGAGTTGCTATTGGATATCTGAGATTGGCTTTGCTGATAATAAAAATTAATTACAAACATTAAAGATTACAATAATGAATGTCACTATATTGTAACAGTTTTCATAATTGCATTCTGCTGGGAAAATGGGACTGTCAGTCCAAAACCCAGATATTAGGAAATCTTAATAATAATGGGATCATGGCTGGAAGAGATCACATTCTTGTTCCACTGACATCTTGTGCGTACAATGTATATTGATAGACAGGCATTGCAAAGCTTTCTAGTTTATTGGCAAAAAACATTCTTTTAACTAATATTAAACCAATGCAATTTAAAGAAACACAAATTGTAAAGTAAAATGGTAAGTATATAATTCCTTCTCCATATTCATACGCTTTTTTCGTCTTTTTTGATTTGACAGTACATTATCATGGATGCTGCCATTGCGCCTATCTGTAAAAATGAAAAAGAACAGTCAGTATACAATTATTTACATTATAGCATTGTACATTGTTTCAGTTATGAAAAAGAGGAAACATCAAGGAGAAAGAAACCCTAACACAACATATCTTAAATACCTCTGAATTATAGGAGGAACCCCCGCTGAGAAATATTGCCTGTATTTTTTATTTAAAAACTTACATTGACCTGACATGATTGGCATGCCATTGTTCCATAAACCATTGAGATATATGGTACTAATTTGGATATTCAAACAGTTAAAGATAATTTCACGGACAATTAAAATATTAGAACCTTTGCATACTTCAAGGCAAAATATATTTCAGAAGGAAAAGTACAATCATATGCTTCGGAAGGATTACGTAAACACAAACTTGCAGACAGGAATTCATATTCATGAACCAAAGCAAGTAAAGCAAACTCAACATTTATTATTTTAAATAATAATAGTCCCTTTGGAGAACTTACTTTGAATATTAATAGGACCAGATAGCATTGTTTATCAACTATAAACATGAGAGAGATGACGTCGACTCTCTATGAGTGCCTTTGACTTCTGTGCATTTACTGAGGTCACTGACTAGATTAAGTAGATCATAGATCCCTACAGTGTGGAAACAGGCCCTTCAGCCCAACAAGTCCACACTGACCCTCAGGGCATCCCACCCAGACTCATTCCCTATAACACATCTAATCTACACATCCCTGAACACTATGGACAATTTAGCATGGCCAATCCACCTAACCTGCACATCTTTAGACTGTGGGAGGAAGCTGGAGCACCCGGAGGAAACCCATGCAGACACAGGGAGAATGTGCAAACTCCACACAGACAGTCACCTGAGGGTGGGCCTATATCTCCTGGTGGGGGTCAGTTAGCTCAGTTGGCTCATTTATGATGCAGAGTGACACCATCAGCATGGGTTCAGTTCCCACACTGGCTGAGATTACCATGAGGTCCAACCTTCTCAACCTTTCCTCTCACCTGAGACATGATGACCTTCAGGTTAAACTACTACCAGTCATCTCTCTCCAATGAAACTATGGTCCTCTGGGACTATGGTGATTTTGCTTTACTTTACAATGTGGCCAGGAACAAGCCATAGATAAGCAGCAAGCAGGTGGTCTGAAGCCTGATGAATAAAGACTTCTTGGTGCAGACTTTGGGCAGAATAGCTTGACTCCATTCTCAGAGGGGCGGCGGGGGAGGATGGGGCGGTGGGGTCGGGGGTGGGGGGGGGGGGGATCTGCAGTGACCAGGAGCATCAATGTACAAGACTGGCAGACAGAATGTATTTTACTCTCTTTACTGCCCTGAATTAAGTATTAATTTTAAAGGAAAATCCTGGTTGACAGCAGTTATTTTATTGTGTTGTTAATTGTCAAGTTATTTATTTGCTGATACTATTACAGCCTAGTCTATGTTATTACACAGCTAGAATGTAAAATAGGATATCAAGCGATTTTCGTTATTGGTGAGGCCTTTACAGCATTTTGTTGTCTGACGGCTTTCTTCCTCCAGAGTGAACAGGTTATTCCAACATTTCCCATTGAGCAGACATTTAATACTGGCAATTAAATCAAATGAAAAGAAAATCACATAATAATTACATCAGTAGGTCTGTTCAGCCAAAAAATTAGATCATGGCATATCTGTGTCTACTTACCCACCTTGGGTCTGTAATCTTTCACACCGTTATCTAACAAAAATCAATCATTCTCAGTTTTGACATTTTCATTGGACCACAAAGCCAGCCTCAACCGCTTTCTGGGAGAGAGATTTTCAAATTTTCACAACCCGTTGTGTGAAGAATTTCTTCCAGACATCACCCCTGAATGGGCAAGCTCTACGTTTAAGGAAATGTTGAAATAAAAATAGAAAGTATTCGAAATATTCTTTTTCAGGTCTTTTTCATATCTGTCTTAATCAGCTTGAAATGTCAACTCTGTTTCTCTCTCCACAGATGACTGTCTCCTGCATTTTCAGTTTTTATTTCTGATCTCTAGTATCCACAGTATTTTTGATTTTATTCAAGGAAATGCTTTCTTGTTCTGACTTCATGACCTCAGGAAATGATGTTTCTCTATCTCATCCATCAATACCTTTCATCATGTCGCCCTTTATTCTCGAATTTTAACAAGCTGTCTATGCAAACCTAATTTAACCCTGATAAATCCATAAATGTAGTCATCATTCCCATTGTAAGCATTCAAAGTTGGGCATAAAATCGAGTAGAATTTTTAAAAAAAAAGTGACATTTTATTAAACCTGTATTGAACCTTGCTTCAACCACATTTAAAATAAGGTACAAAAACAAAGTTGCTGGAAAAGCTCAGCAGGTCTGGTAGCATCTGTGAAGGAGAAAACAAGAGTTAAGGTTTTGGGTCCGGTGACCCTTCCTCAGAACTGGACCTGAAACGTTAA